GGACGGTGCAGTGTCATATAAGCAGCGATAGCACAGAGTTGCAATTTGTACTTTATGCGAGAGCGGACACCATAACATCATTTCATTATTATACGTTGTATACGTGATCTGTTTGATCGCTTTAGGTGGGAGTTTGGTGAAGATAACATATTAGTTGAGAAATTAATATTGATTCAAACACAATAAAAACTCCATACAAAAACATTACAAACACAATATAAACACAATACAAACACAATTTAATCACATAACAAACTAAATTGAAACACAATGCAAATAAAATTTAATCAAAATACAAAAACAAATAATTTAATCAAATAACAAACAAATTTTATCACAATACAAACACAATACAAGCAGAGTAGAAACAAAATACAGACACAATACAAACACAATACAAACACAATAAAAAAAACTGTATAACACAATATAACCCCAATAAAGACACAATACAAACAAACTAGAAACTACATACAATGTTCACACCAAGATACTTCTCTTTTTAAAAACAACTTTAAGCTGCATAAAATTAACCAACGTCAAAAAAAAAACTCTGTTGCCTCACTGTTACTAATGTCTCTTTTGCCCGATTGTTACTAATGGCTCTCTTGTCTTAGTGTAACTATTGGTTCTGTTGCCCCACTGTTACTAATGGCTCTGTTGTCCAAATGTTACTAATAACTCTGTTGCCCCAGTGTTAATAAGGGCTCTGTTGCCCAAGTGTTACTAATATCTCTACAGCCCCAGTGTTAATAACGGCTCTTTTGCCTCACTGTTACTAATGGCCCTGTTGCCCAGTGTTATAAAGTCTATATTGTCACAATGTTACTAATGGCTCGGTTGCCCAAATGTTAATAATGGCTGTGTTGCCCAAATGTTAATAATGGCTCTGTTGCCCAAATGTTAATAATGGCTCTGTTACCCAATTGTTCATAATTTCTCTGTTGACCAAGTGCTACTAATGGTTTTGTTGCCCAAGTATTACTAATGGCGCTGTTGCCCCAGTGTTACTAATAACTGACTCTTTTGTCCCAGTTTTACTAATGGCTCTGTTTCGACAGGGCTACTAATGGCTTTGTTGCCCCACTGATACTATTGGCTCTGTTGCCCCAGTGTTACTAATGTCTCTGTAGCCCAAGTGTTACTAATGTCTCTGTTGCCCAAGTGTTACTAATGTCTCTGTTGTCCAAGTGTTACTAATGGCTTTGTTGTTCCAGTATTACTAATGGCTTTGTTGTCTAAGTGTTACTAATGTCTTTGTTGTCCAAGTGTTACAAATGTCTCTGTTATCACAGTGTTATTAATGGCTTTGTTGTCCCAGTGTTACTAATGGCTCTGTTGTCCATGTGTTACTAATTGTCTCTGTTGCCCCGTGTTACTAATGTCTCTGTTGTCCAAGTGCTACTAATGGCTTTGTTGTTCCAGTACTACTAATGGCTTTGTTGTCTAAGTGTTACTAATGTCTTTGTTGTCCAAGTGTTACAAATGTCTCTGTTGTCACAGTGATATTAATGGCTTTGTTGTCCCAGTGTTACTAATGGCTCTGTTGTCCATGTGTTAATAATTGTCTCTGTTGCCCCGTGTTACTAATGGCTTTGTTGTCCCAGTGTTACTAATGGCTCTGTTGTCCATGTGTTAATAATTGTCTCTGTTGCCCCGTGTTACTAATGGCTTTGTTGTTCCAGTGTTACTAATGGCTCTGTCGTCCAAGTGTTACTAATGTCTTTGTTGTTCCAGTGTTATTAATGGCTTTGTTGCCCCAGTGTTACTAATGTCTTTGTTGTCCAAGTGTTACTTATGTCTATGTTGCCCCAGTGTCACTAATGGCTTTGTTGTCCCAGTGTTACTAATGTCTTTCTTGTCCCAGTGTTACTTATGGCTCAGCTCGCACACGTGTTACTCATGGCATTGCTTTCCCAAGTGTTACTTATGGCTCTGTTGCCCCAGTGTTACTAATTGCTTTGTTACCTCAGATTTACAAAGGGCTCTGCTTACCCACGTGATACTAATAGCTCTTCCCCCCAAGTGTTTCTAATTGGATTTATCTGCTACACATGGTAAAGAAAAAGTTAACTGTTTTAGGCATACGATAACGAATTCAGTGATGTTTAAACCAAAAGTCAACTGATCTCATTTGACGAGAAGAAAACATGTGGTAAAGTGAACAATAATGGAAACAATAAAAATATATGCCAACTCTCCAGATTATATTCCACTCTCACTTGTAAATGTCTACTCTCACTAGTATATGTGTACTCTTCCTAGTATGTTTCTCATCTCACTAGTATTTTTCTACGCTTACTAGTGTATCTTCAAACTCACTTATATATGCCAAATCTCACTATTATATCTCCACTCTCAAAAATATATGCCAACCCTCACTAGTGTATGTCTATTCTTAGTAGTATGTGTCTTATCTCACTAGTATTTGTCCACTCTCACTAGTATAAATCAATTCTCACAAGTATATGTCTGCACTCACTAGCATATGTCCACTCTATCAAATATATGCCAACTCTCACTAGTATATGCCCACTCTCACGAGTATAGTGAGACTCCACCCTTTCTGGTATATGTCCATTCTAACTAATTTTCTTCCGCTCTTACTAGTATATGTTCCCTCTCACTAAATTAAGTCCACTCTCACTAGTATATATTTACTTTCACTAGTATATGTGCATTCTCACTAGTATATATTAACTCTCACAAGTATACGTTGACTCTTATTAGTACACGTCCGCTCTTATTCGTATATGTCCAAACTCACTAGTGTATCTTTAATCTCACTAGTGTATCTTTAATCTCACTAGTCTATGCCAACTCTCACGGTATACCTCCACTCTCAAAAATATATTCGAAACCCTCACTAGTATATGTCCACTCTCACTAGTATATGTCCACTCTCACTAGTATATGTCCACTCTCACTAGTATATGTCCACTCTCACTAGTATATGTCCACTCTCACTAGTATATGTCCACTCTCACTAGTATATGTCCACCCTCACTAGTATATGTCCACTCTCACTAGTATATGTCCACTCTCACTAGTATATGTCCACTCTCACTAGTATATGTCCACTCTCACTAGTATATGTCCACTCTCACTAGTATATGTCCACTCTCACTAGTATATGTCCACTCTCACTAGTATATGTCCACTCTCACTAATATATGTCCACTCTCACTAGTATATGTCCACTCTCACTAGTATATGTCAACTCTCACTAGTATATGTCCACTCTCACTAGTATATGTCCACTCTCACTAGTATATGTCCACTCTCACTAGTATATGTCCACTCTCACTAGTATATGTCCACTCTCACTAGTATATGTCCACTCTCACTAGTATATTCTATTCTTAGTAGTATGTGTCTCATCTCGCTCGTATTTTTCCGCACTCACTAGTATGTATCAACTCTCACTAGTATTTGTTTATTCTCACTAGAATACGTCCTTTCTTATTAGTATATGTCCACTCTAACTCGTGTACGTCCAATCTTTCTATTATATATCCAATCTCACTAGTATATGTCCACTCTCACCAGTATATACCCACTCTATTAGTATGTATCAACCCTCACTAGTATATGTCCCCTCTCACTAGTATATGTCCACTCTCACTAGTATATGTCCACTCTCACTAGTATATGTCCACTCTCACTAGTATATGTCTACTCTCACTAGTATATGTCCACTCTCACTAGTATATGTCCACTCTCACTAGCATATGTCAAGTCTCACTAGTATATGTCCACTTTCACTAGTATACGTTTTCTCTCTCTAGTATACGCCCACACTTATTAGCATATGTCCACTCTATAAAATATATGCCAACGCTCACTAGTATATGTCCAATCTCACTAGTATATGTCAACTCTCACTAGTATATGTCCAATCTCACTAGTGTATTTCCAATCTCACTGCGATATGTCCACTCTAACTAGTATATGTCCACTCTCACTAGTATACATCCACTCTTACTAGTATATGTACACTCTCACTAGTTTACGTCCACTCTCACCAGTTTATGTCCACTCTCACTAGTGTATGTCCACTCTCTCTGTGATATGTCCACACTCACAATATATGTCCCTCTACGTGACTGAGATAGGAGGTGTAGAAATCATCAGAAATATAATTTTGTAAAATTTGAACAACAGGTCTACCATACTATGTCCTTAAAGAGTATGTTGACCCAGGTAAGTTTGAGTTCATTTTGGCCTTAGTGACTCCTGAACATTATCGGTTGTGTGTGTGTGTCTGTGGGTGTGTATGTTTGTGGGTGTGTATGTTTGTGGGTGTGTATGAACTTGTGTAGGGGTGGGTGACTGTGTGTGAGGGTGTGAGTATTGATAGCGAGATCCAGTATAACGAAGCAGAGAGAGAGAGAGAGAGAGAGAGAGAGAGAGACGACAGAACTATAAAGAGAGAGAGAGAGAGAGAGAGAGAGAGAGAGAGAGAGAGAGAGAGACAGAAATAAAGAGAGAGAGAGAGAGAGAGAGAGAGAGAGAGAGAGAGAGAGAGAGAGAGAGAGAAATAGAAAGAGAGAGAG